TATATTGGATTTTGGCCTTTTCTCCCTTTTCAGCAGCGACCCCAAAGCAAACATCCGGTTTTGAATATAAAATTAGAAGATTGCCCATGTACGTCTGCAGTCCCCGTTCGTTCACCTGAGCCTGCTGGCTAACCTCTTTCAAATCCCGGAGTCGCATACCTTTACAATTCGTTCCGAGCGAAGGAGCTGTGCACTTGTTCGCAGAAGAATCTCACACAATATTTCATATACACATCCGAAGTCGAAAAAAAATCTAGCAAAAATTTCCGATGTATACTGTATACGCAGATGGAAAACGAAAAAAGCAATCTTGCGTAAACGGTTCAGAAATTGAGTTGCACAACGTCGTGGGCGCGGGTACGACGCTTCAACTGCAGACTAGAAAAAGTAATAGGACGCTGCGAGCAAGACAGCGTAATGAAAACAGAGGACTCAAGTAAGAAGAAGAAGAAAAAAGTGCTAAACGAAGATAAAGTGAAAATCTGGAAATTCAAATGAGAATGATGCGAAGATTAAGAAAAGAGCGTAAAACAGAAAGTAAATTAGACGAAAACAGAGCTTGAGCTTGAAGGAACGCTATGAAATAGCTCGCGCAATAAACTTGAGTTAATTCGCATTGGAAGTGGCGGCGAGAAAACGAGAGCGAGCGCACTGTAGGGGTGGCAGTGCGTGGCCGGCGTCGGAAAGACGTATGTCGCCCGTGCACCCGAAGACACGCGAGCGGCCAAACCGGTGAATTGCCGGAAGAGCCGATTACGCAGCTGAATAATGATCGGCTGCATGCGCGTTGGCTTCTCTAGGCAAAGGGAGCGTCGGCTCACGCGGAGTCCCTCTCGCTCCAATTCTTCTTCGAGCAGCTCCAGCCTCGGACTGCGCCAACTTTTCTCTCGTTTTATTGCTCTCCTCTCTATTTATCTTGAGCACGCGCCTCCTTTATCCGACTCTCCGCGTTCCTCAGCTTGCATTATTTATTGCTATCTACGCGCTGCTTCACTCGCTCATTTACATTCTTATTCTGCCCTCTGTTCTTTCTCTCAGTTTCGTACAAGGCGCAGCCCCCACCTTGCCGTCTGTTTACTCGCCTTGCCGCGCGACTTTTTGTCTTCCAACAAAGCTCGTGTTTTGCCCTCCAGTCTCGCACAGCTCGATCCGCACCTTGTCGTGCGGCTTCGCTAATTATTATGCAGATTAAGTCTCGGAAAGTCAAGAAGACTGCGTAATTGCATGAAAATACAATCTTACTAACGACTCTTCTCTTCTAACCACTCGCCATTTTTCATTTCTGCGAGGCACCACCTCTCACCACCACCGTACTTCTTAATGGCTTATTTCAAATTTTAAATAACCATCTTATACATCTTTCACTTCTTGTCTGAAATATTCCAGCGAAACTTTAGTCTCGAGTTAACGCCGGATTTGAATTTATAACTAAAATATATAAAATTTTAACTGAAATGTCATTCTTTAGAGAACGTTTCATAGCATTTTCTCTAATAATATATTTAATCTGCTCTCCAAAGAAACCAAGGATAATTGCTCATAGACTTTTCAAGCATTATCAGCGCTCTTGTGCACAACTTTTCTATAAATACACGGTAACCACAAAATCTTTATTAACTCAACTTTATTAATTCAAAGGTTTAGTTGAAACCTTCATACGTTGCTAATTTTTGCTCGATATCTACTCAATGTTACTTTTCATTGTTAGATATTTTGTTTATAATTCAGAAACTGGTAGCTCAAAATCATAAAAATAAAATTATTTGTTTTTCACCTACAAATTATAAGACTATATATACTTTTCTTATTTCTTTTATTGTTTTTAATGCTTCTCAGCCAAGTAGTAAAGTAAGTCACGAGGAAATATAGTATAATTAGGAAATAAAAACTAAATAAAAATAAAAGTAGAATTAACTCATGATGAGGTCAGATACCTAATAACAAAAGTTATGCCTATAGCAACAAGAATTTTTTAATTATTACTTTTTTATTTTGTTATCATCTAAGTGCTAATAAAGGAGACGTTATAACAAGCCACAACAATTTTAAAAGTTATGTCAAGCGCTGATGGGTATTTGAGATCGAAAGCTTAGTACATAGCGTACGAAAATTTCAAAGCATCCACTTCATGTTCAGTACGTGTAGATATTGTAATTCAATCAGCGATTATTTTATGAAGTAACTGCATTTATCGACTTAACTAGTAATAATCCGTTAAAATACATCGATACTAGATTTGACCTCATCGATATTTGCATGACCTTTATATTGAAGAAAACTAAATTAAAAGTTAGATAAGATTGATAAGTTTGAAAAGAAGGACGTTACACGATGAATTTCAATAACATTTCAATAATCGATTATACAGACTGCTTGTGTTTGAGTTTCATATTTATTCGACGCTAATACATTTGCATTCCTGCCAAATAAATGTCATTGAAAAATTAATCTTGAAAAATGACTACAATGTTATACCTTGACTTTGAACGTTTCACAGCGGTTATAAGTCTAGAATACTTTGCCCAAATAATTTGCCTAATAATTTGTGAAAAGAAGCGAATAACAAAATTATTACTTGATTTTTTGACCGTGAAGAAAATAAGCCTTAATGGCTATTCATATTGCACGCGAATGAGGAAGCCAATTAAACAACGATAAATAGAAAGATTTATGCTTACTCGGCAGGAGCGTGCATTGTCTTGCAGTTGGTCCTCTAAGTAGACTAAGTTCGCGCCGCTAACGGGAATCTAATATCGCGTTAGCCTGCACACAGCCCCTGGTTCTTGTCCTAAGTCAAATTACGTATGGCTAACTAGCCAAGCCCTATTTCATTACGTCATGCTGCGCTGCAGCAGTTCTCAGCTTTGCCGCTGCGACTCCAACGAATTCCTTCCGTTTTTCTCCCGCGTGCCTGCTCCTTGCCAGCACGAGCACCACGTGCGTCCAGGTCTCTTCTCTTAAACGCCTGGGAAATGCTCGCGACGATTAATTGCGCCCTGATGTTTTTTGCTTGTGTCCCGATCAATCATGTTGTTTTCAAGTCTGCTTCCAAAACATAGGCGAATGCCGAAATGATTGATATATCGTTCAGGAGACGCAACAACTGAAAAAGAAAAAGTAAACGTTGCAGGTGTGCGGACGGTCGATGGGAAATAGGCCAAAGCAGGGGCATTTTACGAGGGCTTGGACGCGAGCACGCGTGCAATGGATTGAAAAAGTACGTCTGGCCGCGGTCGATCGCATAGCCGCTACGGACGCACCTCGTACATTCGCGCGCACATCGCCTCAAAATATTATTTACACGAGCCAGCCACTTGGTTTGTCATTTCGGGGGACGTTCCGCTGGATTTATTCGATCAATTATCGTCAAGCAAACTTTCGTTACGGCGCTGCCTGCATGCAGCGGCTATACCCGATAACTAGGGGAGAAAAAGCTCCGGTAGAAAAATGTACAGCCCATCAGCTGTATAGATTGCCAGCTAGTGATGAGTATCGGAAGGGATTTGCAGCAAATTTTTTTGCTCCGTATAACGAGAATGTTCCGAGTTTGAGCGACGTTGCTGATTTTTCTAGACTGCGAGAATTTAATACATCCGTCGTGTGTAACGCCATCAAGAAAAGGAAGATTCTTCTATGATGGGATTTTTTGCCATTTCACACCGGACTTGAGTCTATATAGTCTCGCAACTGGCAGCTAAATCGCTTGCTGCGCGCGATATTTTTCTTTTTCTCTCAAGTTCTATTTCTCAGGCTCCGGCAAATGTGTCACGAGACGAGAGAAGAAAGCGCCAGTGTGCGATATACATTTTTCAGCTTTTATATCTGTAGTCGCATAAAAATATTACGCATCTTTTCGATCGTTCAATTGTTATTTTTGACAAATTGCGCGTATAAAAAGCGGCAAACAGTAGCATGAAAATTTCGCGAACAAAGACACGGGCGTGCGTGTGAATTGCCAAAGGAAAAAAAGAGAAAAGCGACCGTTGGTCCAAAACTAAATACAAGCTTTCATCGTGGGTATGATTATATGGAAACGTAAAGATTTTTCCTAAGCTTGTATTGAAACTGGCATCCTTCGATTATGTTACAGACGCGAATGAGATTGCAGAGGCTTTCTCTTATAAATAAATATGAGAAGCTTCTGGAAGCTCGTACGAGGAATAGATGTATAAGCAGTTCGGCATAACGCGCAGCAACGAATCTGATGGAGAGAAGAATTGAACGATAGAGAAAAATCATTGAGCACCGCAGCGGAGCATCGCCTGGACAACAAGAAAAACAGCTGCGTCCTCGAGAATCCTTGAAAAAAGTTCCACTTTGGGGCTTGGAAAAAGCCATTAGTGTAGAGTAATCATTCGATAAACTCTCGCGCGCGCGAAATCTGCCGAAAAACGATTCGGTCGCGCTCGTGATGTAGCCGGAGCGAGGACGACTTCTATAGCTTGGCGACGGGAAGTGGAAAAAAATAATCCAAATCCGCCTTTCTCTGCCTTTCTCTTGGAGTGGACCTATTTCTGAAAGTGCAAGAAAAATGTTATCGGTGTGGTTGGGGTGCGCGAGCTTGCAGTTCGAAATCGACGCGGGTGAAAGCCGGGGTGACAATCAGCGATGGGTTTCTGGGCGAAACGAGCAGAATCTAGGATACTGCGTGAGCCGTTGGCCGGAGATTGGCGCGCGTGCACAGAGGAAAAGGAACGAGCACGGAGCGGCAGCGTGCGAGAGAGAAGAGCTCGGGCATTTCCCCGGAGAGTCGGACAAAGTCCATCCACGGCTCGGCAAGATAGGTCTCGATTTAATTTAGCGGCCGAGAGCGCGGGACAAGAAGAAAGGAGAGCGAGCGAGGCTGTTGCTCGGTGCGACTGCCGTCGAGGGGTGAGCGCGGCTGGCGCCTGCGCAGGCTCCCCGTTGGAAAACCGGTGGCGGCGCTTTTCCAGATTTTACGTCAGAGACTGGTGCGCGCGCGTGCAGAGTCAGCGGTGCCGCCTCGCGGCGCAACTCGGCGTCGGCTGGTGTTGCTCTCCTCGCTCGGTGCCGCGGACCGTCGGCGGCAGCAGCAGCAGCAGCAGCAGCAGCAGCAGCAGCAGCAGCAGCAGGCAGCGAGCCAGTCGGGTCTCGACCGCCGTCGACGCTACAACCGACGGCGCTGCTCGGGGCGGTGCACAACAGAGAGCGAGATCGAGAGAGAGAGAGAGAGAGAGAGAGAGAGCGTGACGGACACGGACGACAGCAGCCTCGCTCCTCTCCCGCGCAGCGGCGTGCTTGCGCAAGCTCCGGTCGCGGGTGCTCGCCATCCGGCAGCCGAGTCCTCGAGCAGCCTCGCGCGCGGAACGGGACGGCCGCGGCAACGGCAGCGAGTGCGCGCGCGCGTGTGTGATGCAGCACGTGCGGCCCGCCTCGGAGCTGGTGGTGGACCAGCAGCGGCAGCGGAGGCGACGAGCAGCCCAGCGCGATGTACCGTGGAGCAGTGGTGCGCGTGTGCCGTCAGCGCGAGCGACAGCTGCGCGTAAATAAGCGCGAGCAGTAGTGCGAGCACCAGTGGCAAGCAGCTCGGGCGCATAGCGCGTGAACTCTGACCCTGAACTCACGCTTGCGCGCTCGCTCGCGCGGCCGTGCTCTCCCCGCACGGGCTTCTCGCCGTCGCACGCGCGCTACAGCGTCGTCTTCTGCTCCATCCTCCTCGCGCGCGCACGGCTCTGCAGCACTTGCAGCGTGCGTGGCCCGCCCGCGGCCGGCGAGGCGCGCCACCTGAGGATGCGCCCACTCGGCCGTCCGCCCTGCTGCCCCTTCTGCTTCTTCTTGCCGCGATCTCTGCCGCCTGCTGCTGCTGCGACTACTGGCGCTCGTGCTCGTGCTCGTCGATGATCCTCGGGCCGAAGCGACCTTCGATTTGGTATGTTGCTCTCAGTCTGCCTTTAGCCTCCTTTATCGACACCTGCGATGTTGTTCTATCGACACCTGCACACACATAACAACTATACCGCTAACTCCAATCGAACAACAATAACAGTAACAGCAACAGAGTGACGCAAGAACGAGGATCGACAGCTAGCAACTCTGATCGATCGCACACCGCTTATATTTTTGATCTGCCCAGCTCTGCTCTTCTGTTTGGCTCTTCTCTCTCTCTCTCTCTCTCGCTCTCTCTCGACAACTCCGTGTAAGATATCCTTATTTTCCTGTCTGTCGCGTTTTTCTGTATATCTATTTTCCTTCTGCTTCTTCTTCCTCTCTGCTGTTCGTGAGTGTCAGCGCGAGTGCCGTGTGTGTAAGCGTAGGACAGCTTGTCCGTCGATTTTGCGCGCCGATAAACACTGCCAAGAGTGTAGTGGCTTTGCAATATAGGTATATAGGTGGGTAGGCGAGTAAAGGAGGAAAAAGAGACAGTGACGCGTCGGTGGACAAAACCGCGCGCAGCCGATGTTACAGCAGCCGGCGCTCGATGTTTTGCGGCGATTTTCTTGTTAGCTTCTTTATATCCGTTAAGCACTGTGTCTCGGCTATCTTGGTGTGTCTATCTCTATTGCTGTTTCACACTGCGACTCGCGGCTTAACACACGATGTGTGAGCTTTGTGCCTGCTGTTCTGTTGTCAACTCGACGATATTTCGAATCGACGGCAGTGCTTCTGGCTACTCGCTGCGGCGCATTGTTGTCGATGGCAGTGTAAAGACGCGCGCACGGAAAGTATATCATCCTAGCTTCGGCTGCTATGAACAGTAAGAATTTATCGATCGCTGCTCACTGCTCGCAACTCACCGACAATTAGATGGATTCCGGGCACCGCCAATTTGCAAGTGCGTTTCGAGCGCATTTCGAGCGCATTTCGAGCGGCCCGCTAACGGCAGGCTGGATCCTTCATCCGCGCGCGCTCGCTCGTCAGTTTTCAAGATCGCTCCAAGCCCAGCCTATAAATAATCTTCTCGTCGATTTTCCAGAGGCATGCCACGCGCACGCACGTCACAGCGCACAGCCAGCAGCTTTCATGCCGTTGTTTTGGCGCTATAAATTAAGTAGAGGCGATTACGCGCTAATGAAGATGTTTATTGACATTACAAATGCGCCCCAGTTCGCGTGCTAGCGCAATATGTATATATTTCGGACAGTTAACTGTTCAATATCAAACGAGCTTGTTTTTAAATTCAACCTCACTTCAAAGTCTCTCTTTAGATCAATTTTAAATATTACGTCACAGCCTGTGCTCTTTCATCGAATCGACGTTCCAATGGCGACGAAAATAAGCAGGATTCCGCGTTGCTGTCGCCAAACTTAACACAATTCGTATTAGGCTATACTTGTAATAATTTATCTGCTGATAAAGAGCCGCGGCAGACTTTCGGGGTGTAGGTGTGAATATGTGTGCCTTCTTTCTTTTTACTTTTTCGATCGAGTGCTTCAACATTTTCATGTTAAAGAAGAGCCGACACACACGCACACACCTCGTGTGGAGGTATACAATAAGACATAATCTCTCTTTCGTGTCTGGCGCGTGGCAGCTCTCTCTCTCTCTCTCTCTCTCCCTCATACACACACAAAACGAAAAATGTTCATCCTTCTGAATTTAGTAGCACGTATACATGTAGCTTCGCTCCGCTAAACCGAGGCCAGTCTCGAAAAATCGAAGTTTCCATCTTTTTTGGAGAAACGCGCGCACGGCCCAGACTTTGCCTTTGAGCTTTCGTGCAGCCTTCCAGAATTACAGTGCTCACGGAGGTGCTATTTTGCCCTTTTTCCCTCGTCCTTCTAGATAGAACCGCATCTAAATGACCTTTGCCTCCAGAGGAACGTTCGGAAATTCGGATGTTGTGGATTGTCGAAGCAGTGTCGCGCATCGATGCATTTTTAGGGTTGGAACAAGTTGAAGAGAAGTGCGCGTTAGAGTGCCGTAGAGTAAAATGGAATGACGATAACCGAGCAACAAATGACTATCTTGAAAACAAGGCAAGTAAGCCGGCCACGCGTATTATAGGTGTAGAGTGCGAAAGCAATTTTCGCGGCCACGTCACGGTGTACCCAGACACGTACATCTGTGTAGGTGCGCCTTGGCGTTTCCACGTTCTCCCTCCCTCCCGCTCTCGCGCTCTCTCTCTCTCTCTCTCCCTCCCTTTCTCGTTGTTGTGTGTGCACGCCTATCGCGCCCAAAGCACCTATCTATGTGTGTATATATACAGAGGTGCGACGTAACCGCTGTGTACGTGCGCGTGTGCAGTTACGAACGGAGGCTTTCGAATGAAAAGGGTAGAGGTATAGACTCGCGCACGCGGAGCTCCATTATACGAGAGCTTTCGAAACAGAGAGCGCGTCTGCAGAGAGAACGGGAGAAGATTGCGCCATCGAGTCTGTGTATGTGTGCCTGTCTGTATATTATTATCGACGAAAATATCCAAACTTGTCGAGCCGTTATCGCGAATGGCGACGCTCGACTGCACGCGTTTGCCTTTCGATTGACTTCGCCCATGCGCCTGCCAGTTCTCACTGTCTTGGCCAAAGGGTTAACGCTCGACGCTCCTTCTGACGTTTCAAGGGCTTGGCGCAGATATAACTGACAGATCCAATCACTTTCCGACGTGTTAAAGATTAACCAACGCTACAAGTGCCAGTAATACAGTTATAATTCAGTTTCTCTTGGCCATTCTATTCCGGTGAGTTTTCCTCTCTGCTGCACACTTTGTATACTTCTGTAGCCTCTTATTTTCAAGAGCGAATGCACAGCGCTGCCAACTGCCCTGGATCGTTCGCTGAAAGTCTAGTGTCAGTCAATCTGTAATAAAAGCCTCCAAGCTTAATTTCAGAATGCAACAAATGAAAAGGTCGCAGAGTATGCAGTTAGAATGCGCTATCAGCTGGCGGTTCGTATAATACTTACGACGGCTAACGCATGCGCGCGTCAGCGCTTTAATAAGCGAAATCAACGTTATCGGAAAAAAGAAAAATCCCGCAGGCGCGGTGCGACAAATCAAGAATCAACGGCCAAGGACGATGGTCTTCGTTTCATTCTTCTTTTCCCGTGTCTCAGCGCGCACGTGTCCGAGAATATCGCCGCGCTTTCTTCTTATCTCGACTTTCACTGCTTATTTCGCACTCGAGCTATATTTACTGAAGCATGAGCCATGTATATACCGAGGGTTCGTGATTATTTCTGAAAGATTTCACGATCGCCAAATTCCATGGATGACGCATTTGACGAAAAAGAAATTCGTCAACAAAGTGTATTTCAGTTTTACCATTGGTTCGATTTCAAGCTAGAATATCGACAATCAATTACGAAAGTCTTTATTAACGATTGATGAAAGGCAAAGACATGAAAGGCAAATTGACGTTCGAGATAAAAATATCTAGCAAATGTTTATCTAAAATGAACGTACGCAAAATATTGGCAATCTGCATATATCAATATCTTCGTGCGATGCAGACAGTAGCAGAATCTTTCTTTTTCTCGCTGAGGATATAGACTGGGGAATAATTTATTGACTTTTCTGTTAGCAGTTTAGCGGCTAGAATTTTCCACGCGCATTGATTTTACGTCAATAGCAGGGGCAAAGAGCAACTATACGTTTAAAGACCTTTCGTCAATGTGTCTGACATAGGAAGAAAAAGATTTGAAGGTCACAGATGTGAAATCCGTGGAAAATACGAGAGTCGTGCTCGATAATTGTTCCAAATGCCCAAAATGAAATGATTCTATATCGCGAATGAACGACGAACGATGATAAATACGATTGATATATTTTATTATTCGCTGCTGCCTCGTCAATACTTATTCGAGCGTAACAAGAGCAAAAGAAATTTCACTCGGAATATTGTTCCCGTTAATCGCAGGCATAGAGTGAGGAGAGCCTCTCGGGAGAGATAGGAATAGTAGCTTTTATAAGTGTGGCGAAAAGTATTTGGCATCTCGAGGCTTCAGTCAACTCGCCTGCAATTCGGTGTCCACGCGCGAGAAAAACAGGCAAAATATACTCATCCGTCGATTCGTAGAAGGGCTTGTGGCTGTGCGATAGGCGTTGCGGGTGGCAAAGATAGCACTGAAAGTTGTGCTATCCCGCGACACGCCAACCTAGATCCTATACTGCATTAAATTCTTTCGGCCGGCTGACGTTACGTTCCGCACCGCGCTACGCGAAAAAAGGATCCAATTCAGAGAGACTCGGCAGATTTATTGCCGAGGCCGCTAGTTACCACGCTTTCAAAATTCTTTTACTTGCTTTTTTTGCTTTACTCGTCTCATTTCGAACAATTTAGTTATTTAACAAGTCTTCTTTTCACGAGTGTAATCTATTTCGGAGTCCGTGGCTTTGTTTTCAAAATCATAGCGAGTCACACAGTTACAGTAAGGTAGATTAGCGTCAAGTTTGATAAATTAGAAAAGTTGCGTTAGTCAAGATTTTGAATTCATCGCGGAAAACAAGAACAGCATGAAAAATTACGTACAATTTATATTTACGTAACTATGCACAAGTGCAATATCAGGAACATTATTGCTGTCGTATTCATTTTGAAAATTGATATTGACTGCGGTAGAATCCAAGTCTGGTTCGACGCCACTTTCCAAAAAACAACTAAGGCAAGAGAAGACACAAGACGGTGCGCGTCGTACGTTATAGTTTTTACGCCGCGGTGAGCCGGAGCAAAGTAATACTTGTTGGTTCGGAGTGAAATTTCATTCTCCTCGAGCGAGCAAGCGAGCAAGCTGGAAAAGAGAACGAGAGAATGCAGCTATAGGTTGGAAAACGCGCAATAGCTAGCCGCGACGAGTGGCGCAGTTCGCGGCACAGTAGGTAGTCTGCAAAGTTGCGAAATGAACGCGTCGTTGTGCCTCGCCGCGCCGCTCGTCGTTACTGATTATTATCGAATTACAGGACGCGAGAAGGCCGTCGCCGCGCGACGCGACTAT